AGCTGTTGAAGAAGAATGAAAAGGGGCTGGATTAAGTTATTTAACCCATTAATTATATTATATAACTGGGAAGAGCCATTATCTACCGGAGGTACCGGCTGGGTAATGCCTCCCCTCATACCTGTACATGTTTTTTTGGTTCTGGGGTGCTGAGTTCGATGATGGTTGATTATGTTGCTGCTGAGGTCCAGCGATGTTCTGTGGTTCCGCTTGGTTGATCCGCTGCCGTATTGGAGGGAATTCATGGATGCCTGGAGGTCCCTGCGCTGGCTCTGCTACTGTGGGACGCTGAAGACGGTTTCTTGCATTGGACTGAACCCTGAGATCTTTCAGCGTCTGGCAGCCTCTGTAGTTAGCCGGGTGCTGACCACTGCAATTGGCGCACTTAGCGGGAGTCTCTCTAGTTTTTAAACATGAGCTGCTTTCGTGATATTCGCCGCACTTCACACATCGCGGTCGATGATTGCAATATGTTTTAGTGTGCCCATATTGCTAACATCGAACACACTGAGGAATACTTCGCTTTTGACGCGGTTCTTCGATTTTAATGTGAGAGAAATATAAAAACTCAATTTTAAAAATATCTTCTCTGAATGTCTCTTTTGTAACGTCTACGAAAAACATAGGAAGAGGTTTTTTAAATCGAGATATTACGTTTACCACATTTGTTACTTCATAGCCCATATTTTTGAATTCTTCTCTGATTATCTCGACTGGTGTTCCATGATGGAGATATTTAACAACAACTCTTGGGCACCTGTCCTGTGGGAGTTGGTAGGTGTGAAAGTCCGCGCCTTTATTTCGTAGGCTTGAATTTAATTTGCGATATATAACAGGTGTTTGTGGGTAAACAGTGACACCTTTTAATGTTGATTTTGTCTTAAATGTATTAGGGCCAGCTTCATTTTCTAAGAATGAAATTAAAGCATGATAATTCTCCACACCGTTTATAAACATTGGTGGAGTTTTATCATTTTGAGGCGTTTGTCTTGTTTCTTCAGTTTGCGAGTTAATCTTGGTTAGAACCTCAAAACTGTTAGAGGTTGGAATAGGTTCTGCTGGTCGTTTTTGAGCTCTTGGCTCGCTTGAATCTGACATAGATCTTTTACGACCAATAACCAGCTCCCAGGAACCAACGTCACTGTTTGTGTCACTATTTGCTAAGTGCATATTGCTTACCTTCTCGTGTTGTGACCGTTCCACCATTGTTGGCGGTGAAATCCGCTCAACCTTTGTTTTGTTTTTTGTCTTCAGCTCTGTTGTCTTCAAAAAACACTTTTGCTACACAAAAAATGAGTATTTATACTAAATTGTCACTTTTTAGAAGAGACAAAAGCAAATTAACCTTTATCGTTGTTTAACATCAACCCCATGGATATTAGGATTATTTTTTATTCTAGGTTTAATCTAATTCTAATTATTAGTAGGAAGTGATGATTTTATACAATTTTTAAAACATAAATGAAGACATAAGCAGAAGTTGGTTGTGGGTGCAACCTGTTAACGCCACAGCGTTAATTTATTTTATTTTTACATTTAACTATAGTTGTTGGATTAATTGTTGGTTTGGTTCATTTCATCAAAATGAAATCAATTAATAATATGTATATATATGTATAATATATGTATATTATATGTGTATATTGAGTATTATAGACCCATAGCTTATATTTTTTATATTAAATAGATCAATAGTTTATACTTGAACTATTTGTTATGGAACCCTAGTACTAACGACTATAATCAGGTCATAGGTCCAAGTCCTAAGCCCGTAGACTTCGCGAGTACACAGTCTGACTCCGTCCGTTATAGAGCTCAGTCCTGCCAACTAATGCACTGCCCACAGCAGTCCACCAAGAGTTGGGCGTTAACGAGCTAATTTTTAACTAGCTAACGTTCAGCTAAAAACAGCTGAAATTAGGGGCGCTAAATATGAAGCTAATTTAGCTTCTAACTGTTTTATCGCAGGTAACTTTACAGCTAAATTAGCTATTAGCGGAAACGAAGAGCTAACTTTTAGCTTAAGCTAAATTAGCTATTAACTTAACTAAAACCTAATACTGGAGCAAAATTTATTTATTTCATTTCATTAATTGATATTAGGATCGACTGTAATGCAATCGGGGGCGCTTTATGAAAATTCTATCAGATTTGAATTTGACGGCCCCCCTACCTCCCGCAGCATCTTTTCGTAACTTTTCTGATTTAATCGATATATGGGTCGACTATTAAATTTTGGGGGGCAATTTTTATGAAAATAATGTTGGATTTGAGATAGTTCTCCCGGGTACCGACATTTTGTAACTTTACGGGTTTAACTGATATCTGGGTCAACTACTAGGTTTTGGAGGGCGCTTTTTATGAATAAAAAGTCGAATTTGAGATAGTTCTCCGGGAACCGACTTTTTGTAACTTATGTCGGATTTTAGATAGTGCCCTCGGGTCTCGACTTTTTGTAACTTTTCGGATTTAATCGATATATGGGTCGACTATTAGATTTTGGGAGGTGCTTTTTATGAAAATAATATCAGATTTGAGATAGTGCCCCCGGGTACCAACTTTTTGCAACTTTTCTGATTTAATCGATGTATAGGTCGACTATTAGGTTCTGGGGGCGCTTTTTATGAAAATAATATCAAGATAGTGCTCCCGGGTGCCCACGTTCTAACTTTTCTGATTTAATCGATACATGAATCGACTATTAGGTTTTAAGGAACGCTTTATATGAAAATAATATCAGATTTAAGATAGTGTCCCTGGTCACTGACGTTTTGTAACTTTTCTGATTTAATCGATATATAGGTCGACAATCAGGTTTTGGGGGGGGGCGCTTTTTATGAAAATAATATCAGATTTGAGATAGTGCCCCCGAGCAATGACTTTTTGTAACATTTCTCATTTAATCGATATATATGTCGACTATTAGCTTTTGGACGGCGCTTTTTACAAAAATACAGCCGGATTTTAGATTGCGCAACCGAGCACCAACTTTTTGAAACTTTTCGGACTAAATCGATATTGGGGTCGATTTTTATATTTTCGTGTGTGATTCTTATGAAAATGCCGTCGGATTTAAGATGGGCAAAAAGGTACTATGAGTAAAAATTACAAATGTCCAGGTTTGACTACCTCAAATCCGACAGTATATTTTCATAAAAAGAGCACCTCAAAACCGAATATTCAACCCTGATATCAATTAAATCCGAAAAGTTACATAATTTCAGTGCCTGGGGGCATTATCTCAAATTCGATATTATTTTCATAAAAAGCACCCCCCAAAACCTAATAGTAGACCCTGATATCGATTAAATTAAAAAAGTTACAAAAAGTCGGTGATCGGGGACACTATCTTAAATCTGATATTATTTTTATAAAAAGCGCTGCCCAAACCTAATAGTCGACCTATATATCGATTAAATCAGAAAAGTAACAAAAAGTCGGTGCCCGCTAAAAAGCTTTTAGTTGAAGTTATAGATAAAGCTAATTAGCTGTTAGCTATAAGAAAAGCTAATAATTAACTTACGCTATTTACCAGATACAAAACTTTATGACAATATAAAGTAGGATTTCTAGAAAATATTAAATTTTTTAGTGTATATCCAAAATTGAAAATATGACTCAACGCCATAATACTTATAGATAAGTATTAAAGTTACCACAATGAGAAATTTAAAGTAAACACCCTATCCATTATAGATAATTTTATGACATCACATAATGAAACTCATGATCCAAAATCTCTTAACTTTATTATTTTTCTAAAGTTACGTTTTGGGTGAATCTTGAAGTTTGATAATACTACCAATAGATAATAAATCTATTAAACTTCAAATTCATTCAGAACTTTTATTAAGAAACAAAATTTAATCGATTGGTTTTGGAATAAGAGTCGGAAAAAGTGAAACATTTTCATCATTAAAATCTATCCCTAGGGAACCTACGTTGGTGACGTCAAAAGTTAAGTGATGCTCCTGAACGGATAGAATCATTCTTTTCAAGGGTCTCCTGAATGTTATCAGGAAACTTTTTTTATATTTTAATTCTTTAACACTTTTATTTAAGCCAGGTCCAAGCGTCTTTTTTTTATGGCTCGCCTTGACAATACTCAAGAAATAATAAAATGTCCTAGATACTCCAGTCTTCCATTTTCAAAATGACTCATAAACCTACAAATAATGTAATTAACATCCACATCAATCAAACAATACAAATAGGAATAAAATAATAATTTCTCTAATTAACAGCGAGTCTAACGGTACAATAAAACTACCCTTTTTGATTTCTCTTATTTTCCTGTTTCCCATAGGAGATGGAAAACACAAAATAGAGAAACAATAATTTAATTATTTGTATTTCTTTAGTTTGTGGAATGTTTAATCGCACCTTAAACGGGGAAAAAACTATGGTTTCTTAAGGAAAAAAAAAAAAACAAGCATAGGAAAACAACCATTTCATATATTTGTTTGTCTACTATTTGCAAATATCTAAATGCACCTTTATAAATCACTGAAACAATAGAAAAAATATGTATCTATCTATTTTTACCACTAAAGAATCCATGATTTAATTTTGGAGGAGCTTCAGCCCGAAAGCTGTATATATATATATATATAAACGATTATTACATTGAAAAAAGAAGAAAGATACAAACTATCTATGCGAAATGGTGTTTAAATGATTCTTGAAGTCCTATTAAATGTAATTACACGAACAATAATACTTTTAGAGATAATTTTTTAATATTTTTTTCATAAAACATGTTTATATTTTACCATTTTGGGAGGGCTTCAGCCTGAAAGCGTCCCCTCCTCCCCCCCCCATCGTAGATCCACCTGTGTCTTTTACTGAGAGAAAATGCTTAGGCACATGAATTTATATCGAGATTCAATTTTTTAGATAAATTTATAATGCTGCAATATTTTAGTTATTAAAAATTAGAGCTACACACTATTTTTTTTTCTACGCTATTTAGTTAGCAACACCTATCAATAAACAGCTGTGTTAAGCACTCCCTCTAAGTGTCCGAGGGTTGTTAATTTCTGTCTTAGATTATGTGTAATTTTCTATTTGTGAAAGCATGTTTCGGAGAAGGAGATTGTTTAGATTGTTTTAATACGTATAGTCAACAGCTAGAACATGTTTGAACTTCCAGTGATCGGTGAAAACTGTCTTCATTCCTTGGATCGATGGAAAAAGCTTGGTTTAACATGCCTGTAGTAATCATTTTCAAAACATATTGATGTAAATCTTTATAATAGATGAAGAAGAATTGTTTATTATGGTTTCTTTGTGTACCAATGAGAAAACATTTGGGAGTAAATCGATGTTTGAACCTAAAACATCAAAAAACTTCATCTTGGTTATCAATTGAAGTTAATTTTGTACTGTGGTTAGGTTACTATGGCTAGTCTTGTGGAAGTTGATAACCTCAGCAATACTGAACATATTACAAAACTTTTCCCAAAGTGTAGACCAAGGGATATTAATTTGAACTCAGTACCTGATAATGAAACTTTTATGATGGAAACAAAACAAAGGCACAATAGGTAAGTGTTGTGCAATTTTCACTGTTTACCTGTCTCCAGTTTTACAATTAAAAACTTATCTAGAACAATTAACTTTTCTATCCAAAATTTTTGATCTATGTATACGTGTATACATATGCAGGTATCATTTAACGATTTTTCTTAAATGTTATTATAAACTCCAGTATTTCTTTTCTAATTTTGGAAGTTTATTGGCAAAATAATATATATTTAAAACACAATATATATTTAAGTCTTGTTTAAGATGACTGTCATTAAATTTTATTTACATAAAAAAAACTGTGTCAATGTAAGAAGAAACTCCAAAACAATAATAAAGTTTTGCTGAATCATATATAAGCGATTGAAATCATCTTGTCATGTTTATGTTCTATTAAAATTACTTTTCCTATGAGGTTCCTATTTTTTAAATTTATAGATTTGTAAATTTACCTTAATAAAAAACACTCTTAATAAAAACAATATGGATAAAATAATTTTGTGTTTATAATGTATGTATCCCCTATTTCATGTTAATGATTTGCGATCAGGTTTAGTTTTGAAGTTATTCAAGAAAATTTTACAAATCTGTTGCAAACATCATAATCACATAAAGTATTTTAAAGATAACTACAGTTACTGGAGAAAATTAGTTTAATTTATATGTGAAAATTGGAAAAAATAATTGTTTTAATAATAAATAAAAAATAAAATTAGTAAACCAGTAGAGAGTGAAATGAGAAACTATGATAGAATTGTATATATTCAGTTTGTTTTCTTCTAATTGTTCAGTTGTTTGTGTTGGAAATATAACTTAACACAACCCATCGTAAGTATATTGTGCTTTACTTGCTTCAGCATTCCAGAAACAGTGTGATCTTTTTTAACTGTCATCTACTCCTTACACTACTATAGTATTGCTACAAGTTAGGCCTTACTAATATGGAGTTAGCGCAATATCTACGTATTATGATTGTAAGAAGTTCTAAAAACTTACAAGGATTAATCACATCTAAACAGTAATTATTTTTTATACATTTATTGTTTAATCCTAACATCCTAAACAACCCATAATTTCAGCATCCGTACATATATTATTACAGTAAGGCTCGAAATCGGTTTTGTTCCAAATATAAGCTCCTGTCATGCTCAAATACCATGAATGGGGTACCGTTGGATTCAGAATTTCACGGGGGGTTAGCAAATCATATTCTCCGCTTTTGTTTTTCTTTCTAAAATAAATAAAGTCAATAGAAACATTTTGCTAGGCTTCAATACTGGAACAGTGGTAGGTCTGTAGATCGATGCGGAACAAATTGGACCTTGAGATTTTAATGCGTACAGCAAGACCCGGATAGTTCCTCCGGAACTATCGGATCCTGCGTTTTTAAGCCCAAAAACGTACTATTTACGAGATAACGCAAGGCATGGGGTTCGCATCCACACAATCTGACGTTAATTGTAGTACTGTCATTGGATACATGTCTCATTTCGTCGACTTGAGGTCTCTATGATCGAGACAGGAGGAGTTTATATTATTTATCGAGGTGTTTTTGATCAGCAAGCCATATCATCGTTAATTCTTCACCAAATCTCAAGATTGAGCCACCAATTTCGAAGGCTTCCTTCTCCTTCAGGTGGGCAAAATAGTCCAATCACCCCGAAAATTCAGGCAAAACAAGTTATGAAAAAAAAGAAACTTTATTTGCGAATAACTAAAAAATTACACACTTTTCCCTGTTATTCATATGTTATAAATTACACTGTTATTCCCATGATTATATAAAACATTACTAAATTGTCAACAAAAGGAAAAAAAAATCATTGAAATCGGACAATTTTTCGCAAAGATACAGCTTATTGAAATTTGTAAATATGTTGGTTCCAAACAAAAATGAAGATTTAAATTAAGTTTGTTCCCTTTGTTGATTATATTTATTGATAAAGTAACAATTGATTCCTTTATCGTTTAATACGTTGCATTATTTTATTTTCTTATTAATTTGGCATTTGATAACTATATGCTGTCCGAATTTTTCACACCGGCCTACTAGTTTATCAGTATTTGCTTCTGTATGATCTAATCAATTAAGCCTCTGCTCTGTTTTGGAAGCTTGGATATTCCTTGATCATAAAAAGTTTAAGGATGAGATTTCTGCCAATTGTGCACATATTACTCCTTCGTAGCTTTTGAATCGTTCTCCTTCATGTGATTCTGTTAAGGACATGAACAAAAAATGGTCACTGGGATGACAAGTGTGGATTTTAAGGAGGATATTTAAGGGTTTCCTAGCACATCTATTGTCTTGGTTGGGCATAGCCATTTGTAACAACTGGTATTAGTAAGACTCATGCACTGTTCCTTGATCATGAAGAAAATCAGCCAGTAAAACTTCTTTGAAAATAATCATATTCCTTGTAAATGTTTTAAAAAACTTTCACAGCTAAAAGATGAAATTATGATTTCACCTGGTATCCTTCATACTCCTTTCATCACTCCTTAGTCCCATTATCTTGGTAGTATAATGGAGGACCCGCGTCTAATTACGTATGACGATGCACCTCCAAACACACACACACACATAAATATTCATGTATATCTTAGGTTAGCTTGCTTTGATTAATAAACAATTGAAGTAACAATGAAAAGCAAAAGAAGATTAATGTATTAAAAAAAAAAAAACCTTACAAATCTAAGGAATGTTACAAGATAGTGCAGATGAGGAAGGATTTTTTAATGAAAGCAGTTCTGACAAGGAAAGTACAAGTTCATGGGTTGGGATCTTGTGTTAAAAGAGTGATCAGAAGAATGCGGGGTAAATAGATTGAGGTTGTAAGGACAGTGTCCAGCGACCGGGAATTTAAAAAAACTAAAATTTTCATTTTTTTTTCTTTTCTTGTGCTGCTTTTATGACAAAATAAATGATCTTGTATTTACATACGTAATAAAGAATATGGTCATATTCACATAATCTTAAGAATAAATATTTTTATTAATTATTAAACAGCCTTTGAACAGTCACATTGTGGCGGTATTTTTCGTTTGAATTCGTTGACGTTATTTGGTTTTTCCATGACCAAAATACCATCTCTAAGAGACGCCGGTCGGAGAAACAGGTGTAGGATGCCTGGTCAGAAGGGCATAGATTTCCGAAACTATTAATTATCTATTATAAATTTGTGTAAAAATAAAAATATGATATATAAAGAAGAATATCTCATCATATTTTTATGGGAATATTATTGTGTTCATTATCACTCCTGTAATTACAAATGTATGCATTTTTAAAGCCATGTATTTTGATGCTAATATTTGAATTTAGACCAGTATATTTGACGTAATATTAATATTTAATTTTAAATTAAATAATTTATACATACTTTTGTGTGAAAATAACAATATTCTTTACTACACCTGTAAATACAATTATGTTTGTATTAACAGGAGGTAATACGATTGCAAATAAATATATTTAGACTTGTAAATTAAAAAAAATATATAATTATTTTTTAAATAATATAGAATATTTATCCATAATATTATGTGAATATAACAATATTCTATATCACATATTTAAATTCAATGGTAGGGAAATGAGGAGATAAATATGCCCAACTCTGCCGTGTAAGAGTGGGTTTTACTTGATCAAGTCTCTCAGTCTTCCATTTATATCAGGCAGACCTGAAGGAAACTAACAAAAAGTATTAAAGAATATTCCCTTGGGTCAGGCCATGCATCTTATTTCAAGAACCATTTTGAAATTTTTCATTCCCATATAAGCATAGTACGGTAAAACTCATACACGCTGCATTTAAAGAGAAAAAAATGAATTTTCTTGAAAAAAAAAAAAAATTATTATGCTCGAATGCCAATAATACTCAATTTTGAATCAGATAGTGTTAACAAAAACATGACGTAATAGTAAGGGGGTGGAGAAAACCCATCCTGTACAATAGTTTTATTTATATCCCTCACCTGACAAGCAGAAGAGGAGGACCGTAATAAATTAAGGGATAATAAGTGTTTGTTTAGTATATTTAATTGTTAAATTTTCATTCATTTTTAAGATTGTTTTGTAAATTTTGCTTTTTATTATATTATTGTTGTTATTTTTTTCATTTTATTTAGCCTGATGAAGGATCTATAATCCAGTTGGTACAAAACAATAAAAAATAATCTATGATTGTAAAAAAACATAACTTACCTTAATTTTATTTGTTAAAATTTTTTTCTAGATCGTTAATAGCCCAGTAACCTTGTCGTGAAAAGGAAGCGGGGTCTAAGTTTCATCGAATGGGGATAGAAGGTTTCATTATCTTTTTTTGTATGAGATGTGACTGAGAGGCAAAATCCAAGTTTTCGACCTCGGCACCCTCCCCTGGAACACTTTTTAAAACTCCCAAATTGCTATATTTTTGCTCTTTATTCGGTTTTTCCCCATTTTGACCATGAAAGAGAACCTTTTCAACAAATAACGTTCTATACAGTTTTAAACCAGATTAAATATTCTACAATTCAACACCAGACCAGGCACAGTGAATCAAATAGTTTACGAGATATAGTTTTTCAAATTTTTTTAGAACTTGAAAATTTTAAGCTATTTTTGTATGAATATATTTTATATATTATTGAGCTATTTCAATTATAATATATTGTATTCAAGGGGAAAATGTCTAGATCTAAAAATAACTGCTGTCATCTAGCATAAAATCATACCACCACCTGATATAGGCGCAGACTTTCGATTTTGATTGGGGGTGGGCGATAGACAAAAGAAAAAAAATTGCAGGAGTTTTTATAATGTGTTAAAATTCAACAGAACTAATTTGTTTATATGTTTGTATAACTAACAATTTTTATGTATTTATTTATTTCTTTCGTTTTACTTATTATATATATATTCTTGAAAATATCTATTAAAAAAATACACTTGAATATATAATTAATTGTTTATATTAAACACGGGAAGAAAGGGAGACAGCCTTTATAACATTGATACATTTCTTGAACTTTTTCAGATAAAAATTATTAATATAAAAAAAAAAAATTGAATTAAAAAAAAAATCTGGTGCAACTTTCACTTACCGCTCTACTTTGAACAGAAATTATTTTCTGGCAATGTTGGGCTATTATAAAATTTTTGAAGTGCATTTTAAACGGAGCTAAAGCTTGTAGCTTACAAATAAGAAATCATTAAGACCATTAAAATTACAAAAACTATTTATTATATCAACGGTAGACAATAAAAATCTAGTTATTTCATCTGCTTTTATAAACCACATAACTTCAGTCTCTGGTCTATGTGTGGCTTTCAGTTGACAGAATGACTAACTGCAATTTCATCATTTTTGAATAATGTCATTTTAGTGATATTTTTAGTTGAAAAAGTTATATCTGTAAAGACAGTAAGTAGATTCCAGAGTAGGTGATTGCAGTGTTGAAATATACATAGAACTGTGAATAAAGGTATAATATTTTCCTGCTAGAAACATCACTAAAATTAATAATGAAGAATATTGGAATTGTAGTTTGTAATTATGTCAACTGAAAAGCTCATATATGCCTACACACTGAATATTTAAACTATAAATGATTATGGATTGTAAGACTATTAGTTATTGAACTGTTATTTTCCATTGTAAAGTTTATTAAAATAAAATTACGTGATTTTCATTGCCTGTCATGGAGAAATCAATACTTGTCACCATAATTGTAAGTGGATAATGTTGGGATTTCAGAATGAAAAAAATAATCAAATTATTCACTAATTTAATTTTCTAAAAGGTGCACTTGATGATTTTTTGGAATAAACGGCCGATAGATACCTAATAATTTCAATATAATATCTGATCTAGAGTTATTAAACCACAGTAAATATATTCAAGGTTATAATCATATCCATGGAATATTTTTATATTTTACTTCTTCTTTCACACAAGTACAATGAAATAGTATTTTAAACGATGTCATTGCCTTGATTAAATGCTAAAGTTTATATTTAGTAAGAAAATTTCCTTGGAAACATGTGATTTATGTTAAATAATGTTAGTTATCAGAAATTATTATTTATATTTTTTTCGTCACTCTCCTTTACCTTCAGCAAGTTTATTTATTTATTATTATTTTTTCTAAAATCCTCTGCTTTATAACGATATATTATACGTATATCTTCTGACTATTATTTCTGGATATTCATTTTCAACCTGAGTAAGCATTTTTCACTTTTTCTCCAGTTTCTAATTATCATATTCTTTCAAACTTCATGTTTAGCCATTTTTTATAGTTACTGTCAATAAAAGAGAGTTAATTTTTGGTAGGAAATCGAATTTTTCTGTATTGATTTTTTGAAAATCTAATCGGGTTTGATACAAATACATCTAATTTTATAAAAATAAACATTAAAAACTTGTGAAAAATAATAAAATAATTTTTTTTTCAATAAATCAATGTAATCTGTTTCGATACCAAACGCCTCAATTGAAACAGAAGTATTTATGAGGAAACAAATGAGAAAAATCTGAAAAGGTTATCTGTGCTGCTGGAAGCAAGATATGCTTGTAAGAAGGCCGCATTTCGTGACCAAAGATCTAAATGGTCTATAGTGCCAACCAAAAAAACAAAAAAAAAAAAAAAAAAAATATATATATATATATATATGTTGAAAACCATTAGAGGTATTGACAAAATTGCAAAGGACCAAAGTTATAACTCTCATTGAGATCTTGCATTGCATAATTTATGGATCCTAAAAAAATGTAGTTTAAAGGCTTCAGCACTTTAATGTCAAGTGTTCAAAGGTCTGTATTTCCTCTTAACACCCAAAAAAAAAAACAAATGTATTTCATTGCTTTTGTTTCTCCTATTATTTTGATGTAAAGTGATATTCATGAAAAATTGCTTCAATATCACCTGAAAGATTTGGAAATTTAGTCCAAGCTGTGCTGGGTTATGAAGCGCCAAAAATTGATATTCGAGAAATGGTAGGTGTTTTACCGACTTCTTTAAGTTTAATGATAAATCGTATTTCTCACACTCATATGACTGAGAAGCATACACCCATAGCCATAGTTTTAGTCAAGAGGGTCGGGGTTCACCGAAAATGCCTAGCAAAACCAGAATCGATTTTAAGTCCCTCAGCTTAGAAAATAATTGTCTCAAGTGTGTACCACACAACCAATAACGGTTGTGTCCCTTTTGTGAAATTAAAACTGTGAATTTTGTTCATGCTAAGTAAGTATACATCTCTCAATTAATGAAGGCGAACACACAAGTAAAATCGATAGAGATAGTTCTGGAAGACTTAGCAGGGGAAAACTACTTGGACGACTTAGTAGGAGTAAATAATTATTATATTTTTGTGTCAAGTTCTGAATTCTTTTCGAACGATGCTGCTAAATAATAAATGAGAGTAAGATAAAGAAAATTCTCACATTTTGTAACAAAAATTACGATATATTCCAAATTTCAAATGCTCATTAAAACTAAAGGAGTACGTGAAGTCCTTTTCTTAAGGCTCAAAATATACCATTTGTGTTTTACACGATGCAATTGATAAGGAATCAGATGGATCAATATCTAATGCCATTATTTATCAAGTAAATCATTTGGATTGGAGCTCCTTCTTAGTCCTAATTCCTAAACCGAACAATAAGGTGCTTTTAGATGTTGAGTTGCAGTCAACAAACAATGTCAGGATGTACATTACCATATCCTACCGAAAGATGAGGTAATAAACAACCTTTGAGATGTTAGTGTCTTTATTACACTTATTCTGTATAAGACCTTCATGCAGAAATAGACAGAGAAAATCAAATAATTCAAACAATGTCTCTGCATGATGGAATTTTTCCAATGAAACATCTAAATTTTAGGATCAAATCAGCACCTTTGGAATTCCATCAGATTTTAGACCTAGATTTTAATTAAGGGAGAGAGAGAATGAGATCATGAGATGAGAGAAAGCAAACAGGATTTTGCGAGGAGGATAATAGGTTCTGAGGGGTGTCAATGATAAATAACTCTAACCAGGTATCAGAGGACTGGGTATGCTTCTTGTCTCCTCTCTTATTTCCCCACACTTTGATTTTCATCCTGCAGACAAGATAAGGCTGAAGAGAATAATGAATTGATGAAAGTGGATTTATCTTATTTTACAACAGCACTAATTCCTTGGTCTATCTGTTATTATTCTTTAGAACATAAGACCCTTATTATATCCTTAATCTGTTCACCATATGTTCCTCTTTCTTCTCTGTAAGGACAAGATCCCAACCATTGAACTGGTGTGTTCCTTCTTACATTACTTCCTTCAACGAAGTTCTTTATCATTCCTGCTACCTCATTTTGGTATTCCTTACCTATCTCAATTTGTAAAACCCCACCGTTAACCTCATAACTATCAATCTTTGATATATTTTTGAGATAGATATATTTGTTGACTATTGTTTCAAATTGATGAAGATTGAAAAATAGTCAGGATTTACTATCTAGATATGTTTTTATTAGGCTTGTCCACATTTTAACCCAAATATGTGGCTGATATGTAATCAGAGCTGAAAATCACATAAATACAAGATATGGAAATAATTAATAAATACATAAATAGGCCAAGATAAAAAGATGAAATGTACAAAAATAAGTATTAATATATGTGTGTGTAGAGCGATAATCTGTTTGGAAGTGTTATATGTGTATATATGGTTTTAATATTTTAACTTAAAAATCTATGCTTGTCTTTTATTTTATGATTGCATAATTTTGTAACTTAATCGTTTTATAATGATTATCAGATGCCAAACAAATATTTCTGGATTTGTATATTTATATTGATTTGGTTGATGTATGAACCATCTTCCCCCGTCACAAGATATTTTATTGCTCTTCTCTTCTTTAAAACAGTGCAATTGAAAGTAGAATTTAAAAATTCTTAGATAATTGCAATTACATTCCTTTATATATATATATAGTTACTACATCTCTTATATAAAATAATTGCAATTATTTTCAGAGATTGTGAAGAAGGTGAAAGTACCAGGGAAGAAAGCTCAACTGAAGAAAGTAATGGTGACGAACCAGGGCTAGAAAGTAAAGTTGTTTTGCAGCTTTCAGCTACTAAGCCAGCTTCTTACAAACTCCGAGATTCCAG